CACTTGGTTGACATTCTTATCATCAATATCTTTGGTAAGATCTTGGTATATTATGACAAACACTCAGCCACTTGGTTGACATTCTTATCATCAATATCTTTGGTAAGATCTTGGTATATTATGACAAACACTCAGCCACTTGGTTGACATTCTTATCATCAATATCTTTGTTAACATCTTGGTATATTATGACAAACACTCAGCCACTTGGTTGACATTCTTATCATCAATATATTTGGTAAGATCTTGGTATATTATGACAAACACTCAGCCACTTGGTTGACATTCTTATCATCAATATCTTTGGTAAGATCTTGGTATATTATGACAAACACTCAGCCACTTGGTTGACATTCTTATCATCAATATCTTTGGTAAGATCTTGGTATATTACTTAAAGATAGCTTTAAAGACGATTTTACTGAAAGTATTCGTATATTTGTAAATAATTTCGGTTGTTGAAATTAGATCATTATTCTTCGTTCCAGATGTTTACACAAGTCGTGTAGTTCTGTTAGGCCTAACGATACTACGTTTACACAAGTCGTGTAGTTCTGTTAGGCCTAACGATACTACGTTTACACAAGTCGTGTAGTTCTGTTAGGCCTAACGATACTATGTTTGTACAAGTCGTGTAGTTCTGTTAGGCCTAACGATACTATGTTTGTACAAGTCGTGTAGTTCTGTTAGGCCTAACGATACTATGTCTATCATTATGTGCCTCTTAATTTGTGTACAAGCCACTCATCTCACACTGTATTTTGTTAATCTGCACATGCAACAGTATTTGTAAAAGTAATTTGAATTAGGACAGCACACTGGTTTTTGAAGTATAAAAAAAAACATTTTAATAATCAGCTTATTAAACTGAACAACGTTAGTCTCTACTTCTGATTGGCAGTCGATTTCGTGACGTTTACATCTCAAGAATGATCGTAAAAACGTTCGTTTTTTGAAACTGATCATCTGAGCTCCGAGTTTTCATACTGACCGGATTTACTCGCGAATATTTTTCAGAATGATATATTAAATCTCTTCATGTTGTTTCAGCTACCTCGTGCTTGAGCACGTGTCAGGAGGAGAATTGTTCGACTACCTACTCAAAAGAGGACGTCTTCCGGCCAAAGAAGCACGGAAGTTCTTATGGCAGATTATATCCGCCTTAGATTTTTGCCATAAACACTGCATATGGTAAGATGTAAATATATTCTTGCTGTTGGTAGCAATGTTTTCGTCGGTTTAATTAGCTCATTATGAACACGTGTTAATACAGGAATTCTTGCTTGTATCTTAGTCTAAGCTAGCACGCGTGGCATTACGTTATTGGTCAAGTGTCAGAAATACGTCATCATGCTAACGTTTCCGTGACAATGCTTTTATTGCGAATATAATCCGGTGTTTCCGCAGCCACCGGGATCTAAAACCGGAGAATTTACTTCTGGATGAGAAGAACAACATCCGCATTGCGGACTTTGGGATGGCTTCTCTGCAGGTGGAAGGATCCATGCTCGAAACATCGTGTGGTTCACCACATTATGCAAGTCCTGAAGTTATCCGGGTGAGTGTCAACAAAACGGACTTTTACCTTTTTTTTGTTAGTCCTGGTCTTATTGGCAGTTTGGTACTTGTATTATCCCATGTAAAAATTGGTTAATATATAAAAAATAACCAATTATTTTTTAGTAATATTTTTGAATTCCACATGAAAGAAGACCTAACTTGAATCTGTTAAATTGATTACTCGAAATGATTTAAATTAATAATATTAATATATTTTTATTTGTTAAATTGATTACTCGAAATAATTCAAATTAATAATATTAATATATTTTTATTTGTTAAATTGATTACTCGAAATAATTTAAATTAATAATATTAATATATTTTTATTTGTTAAATTGATTACTCGAAATAATTCAAATTAATAATATTGATATATTTTTATTCGTTGTGAAGCACAAAGCTACACAGTGGGCTATCTGTGATGTGCTCACCGTGGTTATCGAAACCAGGTTTTTAGCGTTATAAGCTTTCCGCTGAGCCACTGGGGAGCATTGATATATTTCTCAGTAATATAACTATTATGACTTTTGCGGCATTTTCTCGTTATTGGTTTTTCTCGCATTTCTTAATCGTCTAAGATATTTGATTTAAATAAATGATAGAAAAGTGTTTTGAGCCGCAGCGGCTTCACGCTGCTTGGCGTCCAAGAATGATTCGAACGTCGGTTTTAATGCAACGTCCGTTATGTGTGATTACAGGGAGAAAAATACGACGGAAGACGGGCGGACGTCTGGAGTTGTGGTGTAATCACATTTGCTCTCATTGTGGTAAGATTTTTATTTATCGTTTTACGTCCTGTTACTAAAGGGCTTTTTAAATTCTTTATCATTGGTTGTCTCAGAAATAATTAATTCTACTGTATACCAGGGCCGGCCTTTAGGGCGGGACAACGGCATCAGGCTCCACGCCTCAGATGACGAGTCGATTATATATTTCTAACATCCAAACTCTTGTAAAGACGCTGAAAATTATTCTCTTAAAAACCTGATATAAATCTAAGATTTAATTTTTACTTTCAAAATTGTTTTCATTTTGATTTGAAAAGAGTTTACTTAAATAGCGCCAAAAGTTACACAACTTGTAATGGCGAAACGAAACGTTTCACAACGTCTGTGATATCGATGAGTAAATAAACTCACTGATGAAACAGGATTTTCGTTTCAGGTGTGTTGTTTTTCTTCTAACTTAAAAACTGTATCTCCATATGGACTCGGTGACTGAACATGTATTATTGGCTGCTTTAGGCTTAAGAAGGTTTTCAAACACATAAAAAAAAATTAGGCCTAATTTAAAAAGCGGGAATTGGTTATCTATTATCTTTTGTTTTACTCATATTTAATATTTATTCACTGGTCTTTTAAGTATATTTTAAATATCAAATTTCTGTTTTGTTTACTATAACTATCAAGGTTTTGTATATGACCTCAATCTTTATAAATAATCTCGTTTTGTAAAGGTTTAGCTGACGAACAAAACTTTGAAATATTGGCAGGTAGGTATGTATTATAGTTATTAGATTAACACAAGAAACAAACTCCATTATTGATGTACGTCCTCAGGGTTCACTGCCTTTCGACGATAAAAATCTCCGACTGCTACTGGAAAAAGTTAAGCAGGGGGTGTTCCATATCCCCCAGTTCGTCCCCCACGAATGTCAGGAGCTACTAAGAGGCATGATTGAAGTCGATCCGCAGAAACGAATGACGGTAAGCTTCAATTTCAAAAGCTTAATCCAATCAGGTTGATGTGAACGGCAACTGAGGCGAGTTTTAACTGTCCCTACGTGACTGTCTTTTCAATCATGCTGGCCAAAAACAACTGAAGCGTTAAGTTTCTACAAAATCACAAATTACAGAAAATTTGTCAGTTTTTTTTTTTGAAGAAATTTTTAGTAGACTTTAGGTTTATAAAAATCAGAAGTAGGGACTAACTTAGCAAAACATATAAAAAGTTTTATATATTCAATTGTTTGTCTCATTTGTATTTCATGACTTTTATATTCAGTTGTTTGTCTTATTTATAATTCATAACTTTTATATTCAATTCATTGTCCTGTTTGTGCTTCGTAGGTTTCATATTCAGTTGTTTGTCCTATTTCTGCATTGTAGGATTTATAATTAAAATATTCTGTGATAATTAGAAATGTCACTGAAGAAAAGAGAACATGATTCATAACAATTCACGAACGACGCAAATTAAGAGTAAAATTATGTTTAATCCTAAACAAAGATATTGATGATAAGAATGTCAACCAAGTGGCTGAGTGTTTGTCATCACTTGCAGATTTCGGAGTTATAAAACTTCTGTGATATATACCTTTACAGGTAATGTATACAGAACTTGCCAGGTACAACATGGTGATGCATACCAACACTCCCCAGGAACAAAATGGTAATGTATACAACCAGTTCCCAGGTACAACACGGTAATGTATACAACCAGTTCCCAGGTACAACACGGTAATGTATACAACCAGTTCCCAGGTACAACACGGTAATGTATACAACCAGTTCCCAGGTACAACACGGTAATGTATAGTATTTCAAGATACAATAGCTATATTTAATAGCTGTATTTCAAGATACAATAGCTATATTTAATAGCTGTATTTCAAGATACAACAGCTATATTTAATAGCTTTATTTCAAGATACAATAGCTATATTTAATAGCTGTATTTCAAGGTACAATAGCTATATTTAATAGCTGTATTTCAAGATACAATAGCTATATTTCAAGATACAATAGCTATACATACATAATTCTTGTTGTAAATGTGATTCAGTTTCTGGACTTGTTAAGTTCAAAGAAAGGAAAAATCAGATTTTCTGTCGTGTTCATTGTGTGGATTCCGGAGAACGTCTCACTTCTCTCCAGATTATTATAGCTGGGAAATCAAAAGGAGAGAACATGAGCCGCCCGGGTGACGTGCGATGTAATCTGATTTGTTTATTTATCGTCTGGTTGTTCTTACCTTCATTTTGCTCTCTTTGTTATCGTCTGCTTGTTCTTACCTTCATTTTGCTCTCTTTTTCCTTTCATATATTTTTAATACATTTTATCCTCTATAATTCTTCCTTTTTATATATCAGTAATGATGATCCGCTCATCACGTTTCTTCAGCTTCAATACTTTGCATAACAAATTTTGTTTTTATTTCTTTGTTGCTGTTGGTTTTCAGTGCATCAATATTCATGATTATTTCAACACAGTCTTCCCTGAATTATTGACTCAAGCTCAAACATCACGGGTGTGTGTTACATTAAATCCAAGATTCACCAGAGTATCTTAAATGTATTAAATGCACTATGTATTCACAAAATGCTAATTTCTCGTACTTTCATTATAGATTTTAAGAATCTGAAAAAGTTGAATGGTGGGATATAGCAATTATTTTTCGATAGATTTCTTTTGTCAACTATAAGGAAAGATAAGGGAAGGCGTGGTAAGACGGCAATCTTAACTTTGAATGCAATTTTCACCAATTAATATGAGTGTCAGAAAAACGCTATGGTTTATTTTTTTTAATGAGCTCTTCTTATAAATGTCATTTCTAATTGAAACAACGATTGGTCTTTTACAACGTTTAAATACTCAAAAATGCAATTCTCATGGTTGGGGTCGTTTTACTTATGAGGTTGGATAAAACGGCTTCTAAGATGGGCTAAAATAGGCCCGTATAACTCACAACATCTGTAATTTAAAACAAACATCGTATTTACATCTCCATGTGGGGATTGGGAAGGTCATGCGCAAAAGTTGCATATTTTCTAAAACAATAGAGCAAAATATGTAGGTACTAGCATGGAGTAAGACCCCCACCCCGTGGGTGTCACACCTTCAGCCACTCATCGTGAAGCAATCACACACTGTAAAACATTATTGCACTTAAACTGTGTTTCCTATACAGCATATCCAGCCATCTATAGTTTTATTGATTTGAAATCAAGAAATGAAATTTCAAAAGGATTTGATTTGTAACCATAAAAACTCCAAAGTGTTTACCTTAGATCAAAGTTGTGCAAAAGCAAAACGTAAGTCGCGTTCTGAGTAATAATTACATATAATTCTTATAACTATTAAAATAAGGGGTGGCCGTTTTACCCGAGGGGACCGTCTTACTAGTCGTAGAGTTACACTTAAGGTATAAGTTATACAAGTAGTCAACTAATGTAGAGTATAAATCACACTGAATCAATGAACATGCTCCCCCCATGATCGCTAAAAATCGGTCTTTGATACCTGTGATAGACACAATACAGATAGGCCATTGTGTAGCTTTGTGTTTAACAACAAACACATTTTTCTTTACATAATATTTTTCAGTGAATAGAAATTACTACTGGCTACTTTCTTCTTCTTCAATATAACCTTTAAATATTTATTATTCGTAATCTACTGTTGCACCTTGATTGATTGATTTTAAAAGTTTACATAAATATGGCTTAGTTTAAAATGATTTGCTGCCTAGCATCATATAAAGCTAAAGCTATGATGTTCTGTTCTTCATATTCCGTAGCGCCATCTGTTGACAATTATTCGAAATTACTTTTCTAGGTGGAACGTGAAATCGCAATCATGAAGCTTATTGATCACCCCCATGTTTTGAAATTATACGACGTGTATGAAAACAAGAAATATCTGTAAGTATGAATGAAATGCGTTATTCAGAAATTGTTATCTTACGAATTATCTCTTAGTTCTATTAAACCGTAAATGTTTTGTTAGTTATAATATATTTTCAGTTTTATTTCAGCCTATTTTATTTTATTAGTTATCCGTAATAGATTCATTGTTTGAATAAACTGTTGGGATACAATAGCTATATTTAATAGCTGTATTTCAAGATACAATAGCTATATTTAATAGCTTTGAAATACAGCTATTAAATATAGCTATTGTATCTTGAAATACAGCTATTAAATATAGCTATTGTATCTCGAAATACAGCTATTAACTTTACAGAAACAAAAAGATGTTTGATTTTGTGACGTCAAAACAACTACATAATATTTATAGTTGATGTGTAACTTTTGTGACGTCAAACCAACTACATAATAATTGTTTTTGGCTAACAATTTAATGTTCAATTATAAGAAAAAAGAACGTGTTTTCGCCACAGATGTCAGAACGGATGTGTGTTTATTTTCCTGCAACAGAACGGTGTTAAATGGATATATTCCTCGGTGAAATGTAGCAATACGCTTCGCAGAGTAACTTACTGCAGCTCCTATTCCAGAGTAACTTACTTCAGCCCCCTATTCCAGAGTAACTTACTTCAGCTCCTATTCCAGAGTAACTTACTTCAGCTC